CATGTGCTGATCCTTCGCGACATCTCACAACCTGTTATAAAACGCTACCCAAATATCAGCAGCCTGATGGACGCCGGCTACATGACAAAAGAGGAGCTGCGGCTGTTCGATACGCTTAGCACCGGCCTAAACTATCACATACACAACTTCTGGATTCCTTGGCAGTGGACGTGTACGCTGGCTTACATGTGCCGCAAGGAGGGCCGGGTGGACAGCGACGCAATCCTGTGTAAAATCTTCGACGCAATCGTGAACTACCGTGACAATCTGTCCCAGCTCGTCGAATATGATTGGATCAGCGTGCCGTTGGTGTATACGCAGGTACCAGCGATTGGTCGTTTATGTTTAATTTCACAACGTACTGACCAATGACCATATTCTGGTTTTAGGTAGTAACGATAGCGGTGTATAGCTATTTCGTAGCTTCACTCATGGGGCGCCAGTACTTGGATCCAAAGAAGAACTATAAGGGCTACGAAATTGATTTGTACTTTCCGTTTATCACCGTCGTTGAGTTCTTCTTCTACATGGGCTGGTTGAAGGTTGCCGAATCCATCATTAACCCGCTGGGAACGGACGATGAAGATTTCGACACTCTGAAAATTATTGACAGAAATTTCGAGGTACTTTTTGAAGAACTACATTTGCGAAGTTTTCCAGTTATTAACATATTCAAGCATGCCAACTTAAGCTCATCTTGTTTTTCGAAAACTTGCTCGAAACATTTTGTATGATGTTGGAGCAAGATGCTCTGGCCAGTATGATGTTGGAACCGCCATATCTGATAAGGCAGATATCTAAAGACCACGAGTACATGATGCCTAAACAGTCATGAGGACGTAGGAACAAGTAAAGTATTGCATGTTGCATACCTTGTGAAAACTGATTTTGAGGACTAGCACGTGCACAGAAGAATCCCCTTCTATTAATTTAGGCATGATTTTCCGGAGCTACTGTCTGACACTTGGCAATATAAATGGTTGTTGTTATACTGGGTAGAATAATGGTATATCATTGCTTACTTGATAGATTTTTTAC